CTGGATCCAAGGAATTGGATATGTTTTTGTGTTTTTATATATTGAAAAATGATTGCTGTACATTAAATTAGGTAGTTCATTGGGAAGTGCTAAACTCGAGGGTCACACAGCACCTGGAATAGTTTATATTGTAATCCAGAATTTTTTAGATCAAGTAACCCTTCAACAGCAATATTATTTTATAGTAGGGCAGTAAAATAGCTAATACTGTTCATATATCTTATTTGTCAGTAATTTTACACAATATCTTACCCTCTTCGATTTACCTGTATCATTGAAAAATATAAGGCAACTGATCCACACCACAGAGCTGAGTATTCTTCTCTTCCTGAACGCTACTGGGTACTTTCTGGGTTAACCTCAAGACTATTGTTATGGTCTACCTGGAAGACCTACATGCAATCCAAGTAATCTGCTGGGTCCTTACTCTCTTCCTTCGGTAATGTTCCATCACTAGGCCTTCTTGTACAAGAGCGCTGCCGTCGTGCAGTATGTGGACATCACTACCTCATATGCCGCCTTCCTTGGTTACTAACTGCGTTGGTTTGGCTGGTAAGTCTTAGACAGATTGACATTAAGGTTAACTGTAAGCGAGATATAGTTTTGGGAAAGGGGGTTGGGTACTTTTGTTTAATAAATGTATGAAAGAGGGGAAGGTACCTGGGGTTTGGGCGAGAGCTGAAAGCCCCTTTAAAAAAGGGAAAAGGGGGACAAAAGAGATTGAAAAATTATAGGGGAATAAGTTTACTGGGGGAAAGTACCGTGGTTTTTTTAATTTTTTTATAGGGGGGTTGAAAAGGAAGAAAATGCGAGGGTTGCAAGGTGGATTTAAAAAAGATAAAGAATACACACAAAGTGGGAGTTGTCACAGCTGCTCTTTGCTGATGACACTGTGCTCTTGGGAGATTCTGAAGAGAATTTGCAGAGATTGGTGGATGAATTTGGTAGGGTGGGGCAAAAGAAGAAATTAAAAGGGTGAATACAGGAAAGAGTAAGGTTATGAGGATAACAAAAAGATAGGTGATGAAAGATTGAATATCAGATTGGAGGAGAGAGTATGGAGAGGTGATCGTATTCATGATATTTGGGAGTGGACGTCCCAGCGGATGGGTCTATGAAAATGAGGTGAACATAGAATAGATGGAGTGAAAAAGAGTGGAGTGGTGCACTTAGAGTTCTGTGGAGACAAAGAACTTTGTCCCGTGGAGGCAAAGAGGGGAATGGTAATGAGAGTATAGTTTTTACCAACGCTCTTATATGGGTGTGAACGTGGGTGATGAATTTTGCTGCGAGGAGAGGCTGGAGCAGTTGAGATGTCGGTCTGATGGCACATGTTTGGGTGTGAATATAAGCAGAGAATCCGTAGTTTGGAAGTTAGGAGGGAGGTGCGGATTACCAAAAAAACTGGTTGTCCAGAGGGCTGAGGAAGGTTTGTGTGAGTGGTTACGGACATGTAGATAGCATGGGAGCGAAACAGAATGACTTTCAAGATTGTATCAGTCAGTAGTTGGAAGGAATAAGCGGGGTAGGGGTCGCCTAGGAAGGGTTGGAGGGAGGGGGTAAAAGGAGGTTTTGTGTGCGAGGGCTTGTGACTTCCAGCCGGCATGCTTTGAGCGTGTTGATAGAGTGATGGAGACAAATTGTTTTTAAATACTTGACGTGCTGTTTGAGTGAGGCAAATTACCATTTATGAAGGGAATCAGGGATAACCGCAGGCCGGACTTGAGTCCTGGAGATGGGAAGTACAAGTGACCGAGCCTCTGAATGGTAGGGTGTTAATGTTGCAGTATAAAACTGTAGTGTAAGAGCACCCTTCAGGCAAGGACAGTGATGGAGTGAATGAATTGTGAAAGTTTTTTCTTTTCGGGGCCCACCACTGCCTTGGTGTGGAATCGGCCGGTTGTGATAATAAAAAAAAAAAACAAAGTTTTACTGAGTATAAACCAGGAAAATATAACGTTGGGTTATAAATTGAAAGAATTTAGAGGTATGACAGAATGTAGAATTGCGGATGGAGCAGGGTTTCAGAGTGGGTAGGGATGTGTAGATCAAGTATTTACATGAAGCATATAGTGTGAACATATTTAGATTAAACGTAGGTAGTTTTTATTGCATTAATGGATTTAGAAAAGCAAATGTTAGAGTGGATAGAGGAGCATGTGGCAGATTTGCAAGTTTCTTGAATAGGTGGTAAGTTACTAAATGCTGTAAAGTAGCTTTTATTTAGGATAGTGAGGCACAGTTAGGGTTTGGTAGAAGGAGGGAGATACTTTCCCGTAAAAGTAGGTCTTAACAGGGGAGGGGGTAAGTGGCCCACCATGTTTGTTTAATATATTTATAGATGGGGTCGTAAAAAGAAGTAAATTGCTAGGTGTGTTCGGGAGAGGGGTGGATAAATATGGGGAATACAAATTCAAAATGGTAATTGACACAGTTACTTTTTGCTGATGATACTGTTCCTTATAGGAGATTCTAAGAAAAATTGCAAAGGTTTAGGGAAAAAAAAAATTTTTGAGTTTGATAATGTGTGTAAAGGTAGAAAGTTGAAAGTGAACCATATAAAAGAGTAAAGGTGAAGATGTTTCAAATGATTTAGATAAAGAAAAATTGGATATCAAATTGGGAGGGGGAGGTATGGAAGAAGTGAATGTTTTCAGATACTTGGGAGTTGCTGTCTGCAGATGGATTTCATGAAAGGATGAGGTTTAATCAGAAATTGATGAGGGAAAAAAGGTGAGTGGTTCGTTGAGGTATTATTGGAGTTCAAAAACGTGTATCTATGGAGGCAAAGAAGGGAATGTATGAAGTATGGTAGTACCAACACGTCCTTATATGGATGTGAACTTGGTGGTAAATGGCAGCAGCGAGGAATGGTTGGAGGCAGTGGAGATTCCTGTCTAAGGGCATGTGTGGAGTACATATTAAGCAGAAAATTCGGAGTGTGGAAATTAGGAGAAGGTGTGGATTTAATAAAAGCATAAGTCATAGGCAATAAGAGGGGTTGTTGAGGTGGTTTGGTCATTTCGAGGAATGGATCAAAGTATGAATGACATTGAAAGCATATAAATCTGATAGGGGACGGAAGGAGGGGTAGGGGGTCACCTTGAAAGGGTTGGAAGAGGGGGTAAAAGAAGGTTTTGTGGCGGGGGCTTGGAACTTCCAGCAAGCATGGCATGACGGTTAGATAGAGTGATGGAGACGTAATGATACTTGGGACCTGACGATCTGTTTGGAGTGTGGGAGCAGGTAAAATTTAGTGAATGTGATTCAGGGAAACCGGTTATTTTTCCATATAGTCGAGGCCTTGAGGTCCCTGGAAAAAGGGAAGTACGATGCCTGCACTTTAAAGGAGGGGTTTGGGATATTGGCCAGTTTTGGAGGGATATGTTGTGAATCTTTAAATACGTATATGCTTCTAAACTGTTTCTTCTGACACCTTCATGACAAAAGCAGTGATAATGAGTGAGGTGGTGAAAGTGTTGATGATGATGAAAGAATTTTCTTTTTGGGGATTTTCTTTCTTTTTTGGGTCACCCTGCCTCGGTGGAGACGCCGAGCTTGTTGAAAAGAAAAAATACTAAAACTCTCCATGAGGGCAGTGAACATAATTTCTTCCCCCGCCCGTAAGCCATGTTGTCGTAAGAGGCGACCAAAAGCTGTGACAAGGTCTAGTAAACCCCTTTTCTCCTGTATAAATTACTAAAATTGAAAGAGAAAACTTTTGTTTTTCTTTTTGGGCCTCCCTGCCTCGGTGGGAAACGCCGGTTTTGTTGAAAGAAGAAAGAAGAATATTAAAAACTTCTCCATGGTGAAGTGGAAACAAATTTGCTTCCCATAAGCCATGCGTGTCGTAGAGGGCGACCAAAATGCTGGGAGCAAGGGCTAGTATCCCCTTTTGTTTTTCTTTTGGACCACCCTTCCTCCGTGGTGATACAGCGGTTTCTTGAAAGAAGAATGAAGAATACTAAAATTTGACTGCTGTGGTGTGATCAAAGTAACAATTATTAAGGGATTCGAGGAAACCGTTAGCTGGACTCTGTCCTTGAGGTGGAAGTACAGTGCCTGCACCTGAAGGAGGGGTGTTAATATTGCAGTTTTGAAACTAGTCAACAAGCCACTAGAAAGACAGTGATGGAGTAGTCATGAAGAGAAGAAGTGTTTTTTTTTTTGAGTCCACCCTGCCTTTGGTGGGAAATGTCCGATGTGTTAATAAAAAAAAATACTAAAACTCCTATAAAATCTGTAAGTGGATATGTTTGTGGGTATAAGTCTGTTTTGTGGAGGGTATAAGAGAAGAAACAGAACTATGCCAGGTAATTGTATTCTTTTTATAATTAATAACATCATAATAATAGAACTCCATTTCTATTTTTGCAGTATATGATAAAATAGTTAAGTGCAATTAAAAATTATTAGGCTCAAAAGAAAAGCCATTAGGCATTAGTGGATTTAGCCTTGATGCCATGAAGGTCTCTGGATCCAAGGAATTGGATATGTTTTTGTGTTTTATATATTGAAAATGATTGCTGTAACATTAAAGTAATATTTCATGGAATGGTTCTAAACTGGAGGTCAACACAGCATCAGGAATAGTTTATATTGTAATCCAGAATATTTAGATCAAGTACCCCTCAACGCAAATGATATTTTTAGTAGGGGGCAGTAAAATAGCCGATACTGTGCATATATCTTATTTGTCAGTATTTTACAACAATATCTTATACCCTCTTTCGATTTACCTGTTTCAGTTGAAAAATATAATGCGAACTGATCCACACCACAGAGCTGAGTATTCTTCTCTTCCTGTTGACGCTGACTGGGTAACTTCTGGGTTACCTAAGAACTTTTGTTTATGTCTACCTGGAAGACCTACATGCATCCAAGTTGGTTCTTGCTGGGTCTTACTCTCTCCTTCTGTATTGTTCCATCACTGCCTTCTTGTACAAGATTTTGCGCTGCCGTCGTGCAGTACTGGTGGAACATCACAGACTACCTCATTTATGGCTCGCCTTCCTTGGTTTACGTGCGTTAGGTTTGCTGGTAAGACCTTAGACAGATTGACATTAGGTTTACTGTATGCGTAGATAACTGGTTTTATGTAGAACTGACGGGTTGGTGAATTAGAAGCACGTGCCAATACTTGATATTTTTATTTTGGAAGTGTGTTTGCCTACCTGTGGCTTCCTCAGTCCAGTACAGAGAAACATGGTTGAATATCAAATAGGTTTTGAGGAAATGCAGTCCCTCAGCCTTGAGTCAGTGTGTTCAAGTCATTCAGTCTGAAAAAAGTGCACAGTACTCTAGGCTGAGGGTCTGATTATCTCAAAACTCCCGTTCTTCAACCATTCTTCTCTGTACTGTGACTGACGAAGTCACTGGTTGACAAAACATATCACACAATATAGGATACCCAAAATCATCAACTGTATTGTGTATTTTGATATGAACTTGTTTTATATAGAAGAAATTAATTCTGATTGAATAATTCACTTAGTCATCTCCTATACAGCTCCTCTATATAGTGCAGTATTCATAAATGTGAATCAGAGTGCATTTGGCAACTGCATATCAAGTACTGTGAAGGCTTATCCAGGTACTATAAATTTTAGTTCTGCTTTTATTCAGTCTTACACAAAATGAGTTTCAGTATGTACTTTTTTCAGTCAACATTTATTAAAAGATTAATCAGATGTACTTTTTTTCAGTCTTTTTTTTCTTCTTTCCAAACAGATCGGCCATATCCCCTACCGAGCGGGTGGCCCAATAAAAAAAAACATAAACAGTTTCTCTTTTTAACCCGTAAACGGTCCAAAGCAGATCTACTTTCACATGTGTAGTGCTGACAAAGTAAGATCTACTTTTTTTTTTTTTTTTTACATAATTTTCAAATAGTAAAAAACAAAAAAAGTAGTATCAAAGTTTTTTTTTTTTTTTTTTTTTTTTTTTTACACATTTTCAAATGTACAAGATACAAAAAGATCTACATTTTTTACATACTTTCAATGTTGAAAAACGTATATATACGTTTTTGGACCATTACGGGGGTAACGATAGTAATGTATACAGGAGAAGGGGTGTACTGCCCCTTGCTCCCTAGCATTTTTGAGTCGCCTGTTAATACACACATGACTTACAGAGGAAGAATTCTGTTCCACTTCCCCCATGGAGAACTTTTTCAGTCAGATTTCATAAAAAAATTGTGGCTATTTTTTGTAGTTTTATGATAACTGTATTGTCAGTGTCCATGTCAGCATAAAATAAAAAATAAAATAAAATTATATTGTTCTTTGGCTAAGGTTACAGTGTGGGTGTTTACAATTCATAATTTGATTGGGTAACAAAGAAAGCCACTATCATGCCGAGGCATTTCGGGCAGACTTAACCTAATACTGTACTTATAGACTAACCTAAGTCTAGACAGGTGAAGGATGTGGTAAAAATACAAATACATAGGACCCCCCGCTTACGATATTATTTCATTCCAGCCGTATGTTTTCATGGTGCCATTACTGAACAAATTAGTTCCCAAAAGAAATATTGTGTATTAGATTAGTCCATTTCCAGACCCCCCAAACATAAGCAAACACACTTACATAAATAAACTACATAATTGTCGCATTGGGAGCTTGATCGTAAAGCGGGGGTCCACCGTATTTAATACTTTAACGACGTAGTAACAATGGAGGATTTGCTTTTTATTAGCCAAGAGTGAGCCCTCATAGAACTCTACTTCTATATCATGTTGATCACTTTGATCATTAACAGTCTAGATATATTTTATTTATATTTTAACCCCGAATGGTTAGCCACCCAGGATAACCCAAGAAAGGCAGTGTGGTCATCGAGGACTGTCCGGTCAAATTTCTATTGAGTCCTTAATCGTGTCCACCCAGGAGCGACCCATACCTGTCAATTAACACCCAGGTACCTAATTGTCTGGCAAGGTGAACAGGACAGAGGGATAACAGGTTTAAGGAAACGTGTCAAAATTTTTCCACCCCGCCAGGAATCGAACACCCGGGCCCTGCTGAACCAGTGCAGGTCCTGCATCACCTGGGTACGAAGTAGTAACAGATTTGATCCAAGGAAGTGGAGATGATGATTCTCTTTTCTCCGCGTTTATGTTTTCACATAATGCTTTTTGTGGAGCACCAATTAAAATTATAAACTTATAATTACTACTAATTACATCATCAATGATTTGCAAATTTTTTTTTTTAATAATCACATTGGCCATCTCCCAACCAAGGTAGGGTGACCTGAAAAAAGAAGAAACACTTTCATTATCAATCCACTCCATCACTGGTCTTGCCAGAGCATGCCAACACCACAATTAAAAATACCTCTCTAAAATGTTATCTTTTTTCTGGGGTTATCATAAATTGCATTAAACTTCTATATAACTATCTTTTCCAGGGTTATCATACATCATCAACCCATGGTGGGCATTGCTGCTGGAGTCACTGGAACTGTTTACACTCAACCTGATGAATGTGTCGGCTGCTACACTGGCTTACAAGCTGGCTCCCAAGACCTTCGTGGCTACAGCTCAGGCTTTGGTGTGGGTTTCCCACTTTAACATAGGTCAGTGATGGCATGTGAGTGAAGTAACATTTTTGAAAGGATTCTGGAAGACTGGTTCAGTATAGTTCTGGAGGTGGGAAGTACAGTGCCTGCACTCTGAAGGATGAATAAGGATGTTACAGTTCTGGAGGTGGGAAGTATGGTGCCTCCACTCTGAAGGATGGGTGAGGATGTTACAGTTCAGGAGGTGGGAAGTACGGTGCCTCCACTCTGAAGGATGGGTGAGGATGTTACAGTTCTGGAGCTGGGAAGTACAGTGCCTGCACTCTGAAGGATGGGTGAGAATGTTATATTTCTGGAGGTGGGAAGTACAGTGCCTGCACTCTGAAGAATGGGAGAGGATAAGAACATAAGAACATAAGAATGTAGGAACACTGCAGAAGGCCTACTGGCCCATACGAGGCAGGTCCTTATCAAAACGACATCTACCTAAAGCTACTCAAGAAATAACTCCCGTACCCCTTGACACCAATCAAACCCAGCCCCTCCCACTCATATATTTGTCCAGTCTCTTCTTAAAGCTACCCAAGGTCCTAACCTCTATCATCCCACTGGGAAGACTGTTCCACGCATCTACAACTCTGTTAGAAAACCAGTACTTACCTATGTCCTTTCTAAATCTAAATTTATCCAACTTAAATCCATTATTCCTGGTTCTTACCTGGTTCGACACCCTCAGTACTTTATTAATGTCTCCCTTGTTTATGCCCATCATCCACTTATACACTTCAATGATATCTCCCCTCATTCTACGCCTCTCCAGAGAGTAGAGATTTAAGGCTTTAAGTCTATCTTCATACGGGAGGTTCCTTACACAGTAAATCATTTTAATCATTCTTCTCTGTATGTTCTCTAATGAGTCTATGTCCATCCTGTAGTAAGGGGACCAAAACTGAGCAGCATAATCTAAATGAGGCCTCACTAGTGATGTATAGAGCTGTAAAATAACTTTTGGACTTCTGTTACTTATACTTCTTGAGATAAATCCAAGTAATCTGTTGGCCTTGTTGCGCACACTGAGGCACTGCTGTCTTGGCTTTAGATTTCTGCTTACCATGACTCCCAAGTCTTTTTCACATTCTGTATGACCAAGCTCTACTTCACCTAGATTATAGCTTCGAGGGTTATTTTCATTACCAAGGGCAAGTACCTTACACTTATCCACATTAAACTTCATCTGCCATTTCTCAGACCAAGACATTAATTTGTTCAAATCGTCCTGGAGTTCATTGATATCCTCCTCAGAGTGAATTTATACGGCCTATCTTTGTATCATCAGCAAACTTACTCATGTCACTAGTAATCCTTCATCAAGGTCATTAATGTAAATTATGAACAAGAGAGGGCCTAAAAACTGATCCTTGTGGAACGCCACTAGTGACTAATCCCCATTCAGATTTCACTCCATTAATGGTAACTCTCTGCTTTCTATTGGTAAGCCATGCCTCTATCCATGCTAGAACTTTACCTCCTATACCATGAGCTGCCACTTTTCTTAAGAGTCTCTTGTGAGGTACTCTGTCGAAGGCTTTACTAAAATCCAAATAAACAATATCATATTCCTTATCACTGTCAACTCCCCTAAAATGTTTATTGAAGAACGTCATAAGTTTTCGGGCGGGGAAAACGACCCTCGTGAACCCATCCCCTGAGATTCATTTATCAAGTTATGTCTTAAAGGTGACTTCTGAAATTCACTTTAATTGATTCTAAAAACTTCCCCACTATAGTGCAGGCTTTTTGGGACGGAAATTTTGAAGAGTGGACTTACCCCCCCTGATTTGAATATGGGAAAACCACATTACCCCCTTTCCACATCTCGGGCACAACACTGGAAAAGGATGGACGCTTGAATACACTCTTAAGGGGCTAAATAAGCCCATCTTGCTCCTTAATACCCTTGAAAACAACTCATCGGGCCCCGGGGGACTTATTTTGTTTCATTTTGTCTATCGTTTAAAAACCAGTCCCTCGTGACAGTAATATTATTTAACTTAAATTCTCAGGAACAAAAATAATTTTAATTCTGGAATCTCATTTACATCTTCCGTGTAAAAACTGAAAAAAAATAGCCCATTAAAAAAGGAACACATTTCCATTCATTATCCGTCAGCGTCCATTCCCAGATTTCAGAGCCCTATTTTTTCCTTCACCTTCGTCCTATACACTTGAAAAAACCCCCCTTTGGGATTAGTCTTGATTCATTAGCACTCAAATTTTCTAGTCACGTTTAGCCTTTCTAATCCCCTTTTTTTATCTTTTTTAAGCTGAACATTTGGTCAGTAAGGTTTAAAACCTCTCCTCTTCTGAGCCCCTAAAAAATTCCCCTTTTCTCCCCAAATAGATGTTTTAGCCCCTGTTAACCCCATTTGGGATCTTTATTATTAGACCAAATTCTTCTGGGGATGTATATACTCGGGGCAGTGTAATTATTAAGAAAACAATCATAAAAGCAATCCCTTCATTTTCATAAGTTGATTATCGTAAATAAAATCATTAGCTAGATAACCCCAATAAAGTTTAGACAGATTTCCCAAATCCATTATAATGGGCAGAAGAAAATCGGGATTTTTACTGTATTACATTTTTTTGCATTCCCAATTAATGCAAAAAGGTGATGGATTTGTGATCACTCCCAAGCCTTCAGTGATCTCCAGATTTTCACGGTTTTTCCTTATTTGACAAGACTAGGTCTAGCAAATTATTACCCTGGTAGGTTCTTTTCACTCGTTTCAAAAAACATCCTGAACTGTTTCCTTGAAGTCACTGGACTCTAGATTACCTGTAAAAAATTTTCCATCAATTTTGGGCTAAAGTTAAAGTCCCCTACTATGACTACTTACTGTGTCCAGAAGCCCTAACAATTTCGTCCCAAAGAAGTCTCCCTCTATGTATCCAAGCCTGGAGGTCGTTATTACACCTAGAATTATTTTTTCTTGACCCCCACGAACTCTACCCAAACAGCCCTTGTTACTCTCCATCTATTTTTTACCTGTTTTTATGCAAAAATTAATTTTTTTCCGAACATACAATGCAACTCCTCCCCCCTTCCCTTTACATCATCCACTTTGAATAACAAACCCCTAAATATTACACTCACAGTCTTCCCGACTTTTTAAATCATCCCACGTTTCAGTTAATGCAATGATACAAAGTTCCCACACATGCTCAAACGTAGTTCTTAAATTTTATTTTTTTGCACTTCGACTGTTGCATAAAATACCACATAGTTTTTTTTTGCCATTTTTCCTATTCACTTTGTTTTTACACAATTTCAAAATTATCATTACCCAGATTTACTACATGACAGTTACTATAAGATTTTTAATATCAGAAACATAATCAATATATCCTACTCATTATTAATCATTTCTAAAAACCCTACCTCTAACTAAACCTAGTTTTTTAAAATCCTAAAAACCCCCTCAACTGAGTTAGCAAGAAAAACCCCCACCTGCCCCGATAAGTGAACCCCATCCCTGGCATACAGTCTTTCGGGCCCTAGAATTGTCCCATTGTCAATGAATGGTACTGCATTATCCTTACAGGTTTATCCACCCAAAAATTAATACCAATTTCTGGACAAACCCTTCATTCCAAAAACCTTCTTTTTTGGGAAAATGCCACATAAACAGGGCGCCCCCCCTTCTTCCTAAACATGTCTATAGCTGTCCTGAACTTTCTAAATAATCCCACTTCTACGCTTTCCTACATTTATTGCCTCCACACTGAGGCAAAAAAATAGGAAGATCCCCTTTCCCTTTTATGATGTTGTCAACCGGGAACAATGTCCCCATTCCCCCCCCAGGAAAGCATACCCTTGTTTCCTACCCCCTGTCCTCAAACAGAAGCCCTACCTGTATCTAACCTGGCATCCCCAACAACAAAAATATTCTTACCTTCCTTTTTTCGTTCGCGTGACGATCCCATATAGACTCACATTCGCGGGGAGCACCGAGAATGCGTTGGAGGTTTCCACGGGAGTTTTTCCCCCAGCAGTCCCCCTTCTTTTTCATCGTTTTTTGCTTCCATTCGTCTTCTTGATGTCAAATTGTCGTCCCCTGCGTCCAGCCACTGACCACGATCCCTTCTTGACCCGAGGACTCGAAACAGGAGGACTATACGAATCCCTTTTTTTTCCCCCGGTCAATCGCCGTATCTCCATCTTCGCTGCCCTCAATTCTTCCTTAAGTTGCTGGTAAAGTTGCTCGATGGAGGGCATCTTGGTTCAGTCCACGGAAGCAAACAAGACACTTCTTCACAGAGTTAAGTACAGGTCACCACTCAAGAGCACACAAACAGGTCTTCACAGAGCTAAGTACACGTCACCACTGGGATGTTACAGTTCTTGAGGTAGGAAGTACAGTTCTTGAAGGATGAGTGAGGATGTTTCATATCAGAGGGTCGTCTGAATTATGATGTAAACACATTTCTGGCAAGACAGTGACTAAACAATGGTGAATGTGTTTCCTCTTTTTTGGGTCATCCAACCTTGATGAAAGATGGCTAGTGCATTAAAATAGTTACTTTTATTATGATAATGGGCAATAACTATGCCCATAGGATTTACACAGTGTTTGGGGAATGGGAAGTAAAGAGAGTTTGTCACCATCACCAATACGTATATGCTTTAATTGCATTGGCAATCATTGCATTTTACCAGTTTTTCTTTTTGACACTTAGTAATTTATACAGGAGAAGGGGTTACTAACTCCTTGCTCCCAGCACTGTAGTCGCCTCTTATGACATGCATGGCTTATGGAGGAAGATTCTTCTCCATTTCCACATGGAGATGTAAGGAAATAAAATAGAACAAAAACCTTTACAAAAAAATAGAAGAAAACTCAGGTGTGTGTGTGTGTATATATATATATATATAGTAGGAGTGTGTAGTATATTTATCATGTGGTGTATTTACAATTATGCCAGGAGTCTCCTAACAAGTGTGTGTGATGACCTCAGGTAAGGTGGATAGGGAAGCAATGTGGTAGATGTTGCAAGTGTATGGAATAGGTAGTAAATTACTAAGTGCTGCAAAGAGTTTTTATGAGGATAGTGAGGCTCAGGTTAGGGTGTGTAGGAGAGAGGAAGATTACTTCCCAGTAAAAGTAGGTCTTAGACAGGGATGTATAATGTCACCATGGTTGTTTAATATATTTATAGATGCTGTTGTAAAAGAAGTAACTGCTAGGGTGTTGGGGAGAGGGGTGGGATTAAATTTTGGGGAATCAAATACAAAATGAGAGTTGACACAGTTACTTTTGCTGATGATATTGTGCTTATGGGAGATTTTAAAAAGAAGTTGCAAAGGTTAGTAGATGAGTTTGTGAGGGTGTGTAAAAGTAGAAAGTTGAAAGTGAACATAGTTAAGAGTAAGGTGATGAGGGTATCAAACGATTTAGATAAAGAAAAGTTAGATATCACATTGGAGGGAGGGAGTATGGAAGAAATGAATGTTTTCAGATATTTGGGAGTTGACGTGTCAGCGGATGGGTTTATGAAAGACGAGGTTGACCATAGAACTGATGAAGGAAAAAATGTGAGTGGTGCATTGAGGTATATGTGGAGACAAAAAAACATTATCCTTGGAGGTAAAGATGGGAATGTATGAGAGTATAGTGGTACCAACACTCCTATATGGGTGTGAAGCTTGGGTGTTGTGAATGCTGCAGTTAAAGAGACTGGAAGCAGCAAAATGTTGTGTCCAAGGGCAATATGTGATGTAAATATTATGCAGAGAATTCGTAGTGTGGAAATTTCAAGGAAGTGTGGACTTGCTAAAAGTATTATTCAGAGAGCTGAAGAGGGGTAGTTGAGGTGGTTTGGTCATTTAGAGAGGATGGAGCAAAATAGGTTGACTTGGAGGGTGTATAAGTATGTAGTGGAGGGGAGTAGGGGTAGAGGTCATCCTAGAAAAGGATGGAAGGAGAGAGTAAAAGAGGTTTTGTGTGTAAGGGGCCTGGACATATGTGAGTGTGTTAGATAGGAGTGAATGAGGACAAATTTGAGACCTGACAAGCTGTTGGAGTGTGAGCAGGGTAAAATTTTGTGAAGGGATTCAGGGAAACCAATTAGCTGGACTTGAGTCCTGGAGGTTGGAAGTACAATGCACTTTAGAGGAGGGGTTTTGGGATATTGGCTGTTTGAAGTAATGTCTAAACTGTCATATCTGGGCACCTCTGCAAAGACATTATGTATGAATGATGGTGAAAGTGTTTCTTTCTTGGGTTGCCTGCCTCAGTGGGAGAGGGCTGACGTGTTGGAAAATAAAAGATAAGTTAAATATGATTAAAAGGCTTGAAAAAGGTGAAAAATTGTTGATTTAATACTAAAATATTCTTTAAATTCTTTAATGCCTTCACGAGTTATATTCTTTCGAGTGTTGTTTATGCTAATTATAAGGTGTTTTTCCTTATAAGTACTTAAGGCATTTTTAGGGGCAAATCACAAGGTAAATAACATAATTTCTTTGTGTTCATTGTTCTTTAACCCTTAAACTGTCCAAACGTAGATCTATTTTTTCAACATCTGAAAGTACGTAAAAAACGTAGAGCTTCTTTTTCTTTTTTTACGTTTGAAAACGTGTAAAACAAACTTTGATCTACATTTTTTTTGTTATATTTGAAAATGTTAAAAAACGTAGATCTACTTTTGGAGCGCTACGCATGTGAACATAGATCTGTCTGGACAGTTTAAGGGTTAAAAAAAATATGACTAAAATATGCTTTTAGGTTTAGCAATATTTATATTCTCTCACCAGTTGTTTATGCTAGTTTTACGGTGTTTGTTGTCATTTTAAGGCATTTTTAAGGCATTACGCCCAGTTTATGTCTAAAACTGGGTTACGTCATGGTTCTTTGAACCAATTAATGATGTAGGGCGGGGCACGACTGTACATTTATTCTCTTCTCTGAGGCTAAGGGTCCCTAATTGGCACCAGAGGTGGTACTGTCCTATACTGTTTCATAGTTACTTTTTTTGTTTGCAGGTCGCTGCATTGGTACATTTGTTGGTGGTCACCTTATGGATGAATACGGGGAGGTGCTGGTGTTCCAGGGTGCCGCCATTCTTTCAGCAGCGTGTGCGGCTGTTTACCTCTTCATTCACCAACTTGTCAAATACTTAAAAGGACGGCAAAATGTCCAGCCAAAACCCCAGCCGAGCAAAGAAAACGGTCAGTACTAACTTTGATACCTGTTTATGCTAATGTTTTTGTATCTGTCTATAGTAACTTTGATACCTGTCCATACTAACTTTGATACCTGTTTGGTTGACCAGGCAAGCACCAGACAAGCCTGGTCCATGGCCAGCTCCAGGAGTAGAAAAAATTCTCAAAACTCATCAACGATATCCATACTAACATATATAGCTAGTCACATTAACTTTGTCTATCTATATTAATTTTCTGTATATAAATTGAGCATGTTAATGTAGGTAGTATTACCACCTCCGTTACGTTTTGCTATGTGCTAGGTTACTCGATGATGCCAGTAAATCCGAGCTAGCAAGGAAGGTTCATATCACTGAACTCTTCAAAAAAGGCACCTCAATCCTAGTGAAGGTCTCTTGATCCAAGAAATTGTAGCACCTCTCCCCCTCCTCAGATTAAAAAGAAAACCCAGAGAGGTGTGTATATGCTTGTACATGCATGTGTCGTGTGACCTAAGTGTAAGTAGAAGTAGCAAGACGTACCTGAAATCTTGCATGTTTATGAGACAGAAAAAAGACACCAACAGCCCTACCATCATGTAAAACAATTACAGGGTTGTAGATTTATGTATTTAAATCTGTAAACATTTATCCCATTACCTCCAATACAGAGTGACCCAAAAGTCTCCATGCATAGCTAATATTTTTTTTCAGATACCCTTTAAGATTGCCTTTGTCAAGAGTGGGAGAGGCACATCCGTTCATGTAGAAAATATTCTGTAAATAAAGCTACATTTTGCTAAAGTTGCTAAATTTTCCTGTGTATGGAGACTTTTGGATCACCCTGTATTTTAGGGTATTAAGTTAAATACTTAGCCCTGCATGGGAATTTTTTTTTAATTTTCTCCTGACAAGCAGGATGCCTCCTAACTTCCTTCTACTTTCCACTTGATCACCGTCATGTTGAAGATGGTTAGAAGTTTTTGGTTTATTTTAGTTTTTAAGTCCCATGGGTGTTTTCTCTCTTCCTGAGCCATTCCAGGTGGAGAATGGGAGGTCATCAGGTTTGACCCAAGAAAGAGGAGGGTAGGTATAATTCCTTGTGTTAAGAGTCCTTCGCCAGTATCAAGCCATCCTCTTAAAGGGTTTATGTCAGGATCCACAATTTCTTTTTAAATTATTATTACATATAATTGTAACTAAGCACTAAACCCATAAGGGTCATACAGCTCTGCACTTCATTTAAAGTTGTCTGTTTCCAGAAGTGTGTGTGTTGATTTAAGCATACTCTTATGCAGTAGTGTTTTCCCTTTATCACTCTAATGTATGCAAAAGAACCATTGGGGGATAAATTAGACATGTGCACTTGTCGGTTCTCTGAACCATTCATCTGCAACCATTGGGGGAGTTGAATGACAGCTCTAGGCCTTTTGTGTTGCAATCAGCACGTCAGGAACTTAAGAGTTGCAGAAAAAAGGAGGAGTTCCAAGCACATACACTCAGATTTATTATTATAATCAAAAACAAGCGCTAAGCCACAAGGGCTATACAGCGCTGCAGGATAGGGAAGGAAGCGAGGGTATTGGGCGGCAGAAGGGGGGAGGGATGATCAGTAGGTTACAGAAAACAGCGGGACAGGGGATAGTGTGGGGGTAGAGGGTAGCAAGAGATTGAGGTAGAAAGGGCTGAAGGTATCATCAGAGTTTGTGAAGTAAGTCAGTTGTTGTCAGAAAGTCAATGAGAGAGTCCGGATGAAAGGTGGGTCCATCAGCGAGAAGGGAAGGTAAAGAGAGAGCAGCGGAGCGAAGACGACATTGGAGGTAAATTCTGCGTGCTCGTTGATAAAGTGGGCAGTCTAACAGAATGTGGCTGACTGATAATGGAACTTGACAATTCTCACAGAGAGGAGCAGGGCACCTCTCCATGAGATATCCATGAGTAAGACAAGTATGGCCAATGCGAAGATGGGAGAGAGTAGTCTCCCAACCTCGACACTGGTGACAAGAAGACGGCCAGTAACCTATACTCGGTTTAATAGAATGAAGTTTGTTACCGAGTAGAGTAGACCAACGTTGTTGCCAATGGAAGCATAGTCAAAGGAGAGCGGAGGTCAGACAAATCGAAAGAGTCAGTCGAAACCCCGGCACCTGAAGCAGGTGACGAAACAGCACCAGCAAGAGGTACAGGGGCCTTAGGAGTGTCCAAAGAGTGGCCAAAAGACGAGGCGAGGTCAGAACAGGGTGCAGTAACAATAAGGGGCCTGGGGGTAGCGGGGTCATGGATTTGGGACTCCATGGCTAGGTTACTTCTTTCTTTTTGTTTTTAAGAAAAAAAAAAAAAGAAGAAAAGAAAATCAAAATAAAAAAAGGGGGGACCGGGGAGGGATAGTTCCTAGGAGGAATGAAAGGGCCAGAAATCTCCCTCCGTGCCCAAGAGGACCTCAGCACCGCAAGTAGCGCAGATGCAGCATGGAACCCGTGCCATACCCTACCCTTCATGCCAGTAAACCAGCAATCCGGGATAGCAACCTCACATCTGCCGAGCTACCTTGGTGGACAAAAGAGAGGGCAGCCGGATATCCTCCACAAAGCATACCTCCTTCGGCCACCACCCCCGGAATCCGAAAGGTGGCTTCCAGAGATACACCCGTCGCCCGAAAGACACCCAAAGCCACCCTCCGGGATACCGGAGAGGGATCAGGACATCCCCAGGCGATCCAGATTCCACGGCAAACTACGCCACTGCCAAGAACCTCAACGGAATGGGATGGACCTCGGTACTCCTTCCCCTACCTAGGAACTAGCATGCCTGTGGGAAAAAAACCCAAAGGCCAAAAAGAGGAAGGGCAAAAGGGAGGGGTGGGGAAGAGGAGGAGGAAAGGAAAAAGGGGAGGATGGAATAGGGAAGGGGGGATTGGGGGGTAATTAGGTTCGGTCTGAGGAAGGAGACTGACAGGTCTAATTCCTCAGACTAAGAGCCTCTTCACCACGCCAAGGAGCCCCCCTTGAAGAGGACATACATTCAGAGGAAGCATCTTTGCTCGAATCATTCGAGCAAAGATGCTTCCTCTAAACGTATTTGCTTGGAACTCCTCCTTTTTTCTGCAACATTGCAAGCTCCTGATGTGCTGATTGCGACATGAAAAGTCTAGAGCTGTCATTCAACTCCTCCATAGTCGTTTTGCATTTTGTATTGCTTGTTCATGATTATTGCATACTCTAATGTATATTATTACAATCATAACTAAGCACTGAACCCACAAGGGTCATACAGCGACTCTAATGTATAGCTTTTTTTGCAGGAAATGTACCGAATGGCCATTATACTCCACTTCAGGTTGCTGACGAGAAATTTTGATCGGAGCTTCGTGCAAAACCTCCTCAAAGTTACCACATACAGCCAAGAGAAAGTTTGGCAATATTAAAAACTCCATGCGACTGTGATACTGCAGGTTGACACGAGTGACTCGGACACCCCAGTGGCAGGAATAGTCATGTAAATAAGATCTACATTACCATTATAATTAGTGTTATAGACGCACACAACATGCCAGAGAAACTTTCAGGGTTATGAAAGAATATATGCAACTTACAATTTTGTTAAGTGTTCTCTGCAAACCCAGTAAATTACCAGTGATGAGTGGCATCATCGATGGTGGTGTCTCGGCATGTTTTGCGAAGTTGCTTTCCCGTGAAAAATGGGATGCTTGAAAATGATAAAAGTGAACGAGAGAAATAGGGTTAGGATATGGTGCTAAAAATGCAGTGATTTATTAATCAGGCAATTTTATTGTCAAGTTAATTGTGTACAAGGCGAGTGGTGATGGTCATATATGGCCTATTTTGGTTATTGCTCTAATTGTCCCTTAATTGTACAATTACAACAGTTATTGTATATCTGACGCTGGGCCAGTGTAATGCTGGGCCTCTCTCCTCCCTTCCATACCCGTCTTGTATACCAGTGGAAGTATATATCAAGAATATCCAGTTTGTAACTTTGAGAAAACCTTTTGTCTACCAGTAACTTTCGCAATTCTCCCAGAGACGAGCAGTATATATGCTGTATATAGAGTTGTGTGGTGTAGAGCTGGGTGGGTGACATCTCTTGTAAAGTAACTGAGCCCAGTGGAATCATTGAATGTTTTACATTAGGATGAGCTGGTAGGCTGACTACAGTTATCCTCCTTATAGCTTTTTGTGATAGTTGTATCACGACTGATGAGAATAAATTTGGTTCGTGTTTCAGAAATTAAGATTGAATCTGATTTCTGTGTGATGGTGTTAGCTGTGGCAGTCAGAGCAGATACCAAGCACAGCCTATTGCACCTCTCTGCTTTTTTTCAGTAACTAGTTTGGCATCAGGAAGGTTCATCATGGTTTTCCATGTTGCAGGGAATAGTAAATGTTGGTGTCATCCCACACATTTGCCAAGAAACACGACCTTGTATTTGTTTGGATTGAACTCTAGAAGCCTCTTATGTGGCCACATCTGCAGTTTCTTGAGGTCTATACACAACCTGCACATAGGAAAGAGGAGCTTACGATGACATTTCAGTCCGACTTGGGCCAAACCATACCCCCGGCCGGGATTGAACCCGTGGTCATAGAGTCTCAAAACTCCAGCCCGTCGCGTTAGCCACTAGACCAGCTAGCCACAATAAGATTCATCCAACTAGGTATATTTCAACACCATAGGAAGGTTAGCACAGGCACCACTGTGACCACAAATGCAAGTTTTTACAGACGAATCTCCAGCTAGCGTGGCCGTGACGAACTCTAGCTCAAGTCCCTTCACTGCAATGTGTCATTACGATTTCTTGAGTCAAGTTGACTTGGGCCATTTAGTCACACTAATAGAAAAGAGAGGTGAAACCAGTATATACTGGCTCCATCTCTCTTTTCTGTTAATGTGACTTTGTCAACGGTCCAAGTCAGACCAAAATGTCGCCATAAACTCCTCTCTCCTGTGTGCGGGTTATTTGTATATTGTTCCAATCATGGTATTTTGCCTTTTTGTTCTTTTCTTGAGGTCTCTCTGGAGTTTATCCCTGACCTTTACATTTCTTATTCTGATGGGGCGCTGTATAATCCTCCGGGTTTAGCGCTTCCCCCTTGATTATAATAATAATAATTATTCTGATGGGTACATCTGTGATCACTGATCCTTGTGCTCAGTCCCTGCAGGTTTCACCAGTGTAAAATTTATCACAACCCCCACAAGGTATTGTAGATGCCAGCAGTGGTGCCCTCAAAACTAGTTTCCTTATACTAAGTCTTTTATGATGTTGGAGGATATGTGGCAACCTTGTTGTTGTCTTTGGAGATTGTTATCCTGAGCCAGAGGCAACATATTCTCCAACACCAGAGAACTTAAAAAGAAAACTATGAATACGTACACCACTGATATCTACATACCTTGTGGGGTTTGTGATAAGTTTTAGGTTGGTGAAGCCTCCAGGGACTGACCTGAACACTGTAATCAGTGATCACTGAACTTTTCCTGTTCACTGCAACACAGAAAAACACGTGATGAACTTCCCTGATGTTAAACGTCATCAAAGAAGTGTAAAAGCTCTGCTTAGCATCTGCTCTGATTAACATGGCTAACACTATCACACAGAAATCAGGTTCAATCTTAATTTCTAAAGCAAACACTAACCAAACTTATTCTCATCAGTCATGATACAATTATCACAAAAAGCTATATGGAGGATCACTGTAGTCAGCCTACTGGCTCATCCTAATTTTAAAACACTCAATGATTCCACCTGACTCAGTTACGTTACAACAGGTGATGTCACCTGTCCAGCTCTACACTGCACGTTTCCTCTATGTACCGCATATACTCTGCTCGTCTCTGGGAGAATTGAGAAAGTCTCTGGTGGACAAAACATTTTCTCCTTAAATTGCCACAAACCGCATATTGTCTTATTTACATACTTACCTCTTGTACCCTCTTTGCGCTGTGTGACCCATTCGGATTTAGCACTCATTTGTGACCAGTTCTCCTTCTCCCTAACTCCCTCACTGCTTTTCTCTTTCTTCCTGATTACTCTTGCATATGCACACACACCACTGAGCCACAGGTAAGTAAGGAAGTATTTCTTCAGTCTCATGGTGGCCAGGAAGTGGAATGACCTTGACCAAGAAGTGGTGGAGCCAGACTCCATACATAGTTTTAAGAATAGAAACTATAGGCCCCATGAGGCTAGGAGAGAGTGAATGTGGCAAATAGAGAGGGGGGCCAGGAGCTAAGAATTGATCCCTGCAACCACATATAGGCGAGCACACATACACAGATACAAAGAAGAGGTATGATAAGGTTCTTAAAGCCAGGAGAGTAAGCACATTAGTGGCCAGAGAAAAGGCAGAGCCAGGAGCTAAGACTCAGTGCCTGCAATCACATACAGGTGAGTGTATGCATGGACACGCCAAGAAAGGTTACTAGCCTAGTCTGACGAATGGCTCTTGGAGTTAAACCCCACCAAGTGCAAATTTATGAAGCTTGGGGAAAGAGAAAGAAGGCCTCAGACAGATTACAGGCTGAAGGGTTAACGGCAGCAAATCCTCACTCAAGGAGGGCCTCTGGGTGAATATCATACAAAGTATATCCCAAGACGTACATCAACCAAATAACTACTGCAGCATATGTGCTTATGGCAAATCTAAGAATAACTTTTTTGATGTCTAGGGAATCATTCACAACACTTTACACTGTGTATGTCAGGCCTATACTTGGAATATGCAGCACCAGTATGGAACCCACACCTAGTCAAACACATCAAGAAATTGGAGAAATTGTAGAGGTTCAGCAAGGGAGCTAAGGGGTATGTTCTGTGAGGAGAGGTTAAGGGAACCCAACCTGATGCCACTGGAGAACAGGAGGACTAGGGGAAGGGGGGATATAACAATGTACAAAATACTGATGAATTGACAAGTTGAGCAGAGATAGAATGTTTTAGAGGTGGGAAATAAGAACAAGAGGGCACAACTGGAAGTTAAAAAAAAAAATCTCACTCGGGTGAGCCACAGGGATGTTAGGAAGTATTTCCTCAGCCTTAAAATTGTCAGGAAGTGGAACAATCTGGAGAGTGAAGCAGTGGAGGCAGGATCCATGCATAGCTTTAAGAAGAGGCATGATCACTCTTGAAGCTGGGAGAGAGAGAACCTAGTGGTGAAGGACCAGGAGCGGTGACTCGACCCCTGCAACCACATACAAGCGAGTACATATAGGGGAACAACACACACTTGATCCTTACAGACTCGTGGAGATGAAATTCTTGAAGTTTCAGCAACCCAGAAACAGTACGTACTAAAAATATTTATAATTTCAATGCAGTGCAGATGATTATTGAGAAGTTACAATAATGATTCCTGTAGGATCATCCAAGAATGACTTTCTCGCCAATTATTATAACAAAAAAAGAAGCACTAAACCACTTTCTCGCCGAGCAAAGAAGACTGAATCCCCAGACAGAGAAGACTCTCACAAGTATGATCATTCCACTTACCTTTGATGAGTTCTGGGAGTTTTTCTACTCCTGGCTGGGCTTGTCTGGTGGTTGCCTGGTCAACCAGGATGTTGCTGGTCCGCTGACCCACATATCCATCACAGCCTGGTTGATCTGGTACCTGGTGAAGATACTCGTCCAATTTCTCCTTGAAGACTCCTACACTTGTTCCAGCAGTGCTTCTGATATCTTCTGGTAAGATGTTGAATAGTCTGGGGCCACAGAAGTTGATAGTGTTCCCTTAATTGTGTTCACTGCACCACTTGGGAGACATACTGCATATTATGCCAGTCAAGGGGAGAGCCTAATGCTGGTGAAGGGCTCCTGATCCAGGTAATTAGAGCTGCACTTCAAACCATGGAATGCATAGGGATAGAACTCACGGCAAGTGAGTTAAAACTTCAGGCCAGTGCGTAAGCCACTGGGCCAGCTGGCCCAGTGGCATACACATTGGCCTGGAGTTTTACAATTCACTTGCCATGGATTTTAACCCCACGCATTCCGTGGTTTGCTTACAATCATGTTATTACAATTTCATGAGCCATCTGCACTTCCCTGTGACTATCTAATAACAAGACATGTAACTGCAGTCAAGTGAACTAATTAAAACCACTGCACAGCAGTCATCACGTCTAGAGGTGCAACACAAACAGTCTCACCGACATACGATAAGATAAAGCCAAGATAACACTAAAGTACAATACTCAAGGAATTTTAGAGAACACACCAACAGTCGCTGCTCAGCCTCACTTGACTGTACACTTGTATGATACAATTTTACATTAAGAATAAGGGTCAAGCAGCCTTGTGTATGTGACCAGTTATTCAAAAAAATTGATTTATCGTAATTTTTTTTTTGCAATACAGGTCATTTCCCACTTAGTTGTTGTTATCATTGGTAAATCATGTTGTGCAAACCATACCATGGGTGGGGATAGAACCCGCGATCACAGAGTCTCAAAACTCCAGACCGGAGTTTTGAGACTCTCTGATCGCGGGTTCTATCCCCGCCCGTGGTATGGTTTGTTTGCAATCGTGTCATTACGATTTCGTGAGTCATGTTGTGCAACACTGACGAGTTCATGAATCAGATACATGTGTAACACCTGGCTATATTTATTTTGAAAATAAAATAGAGAGAGCCAAGTGTTATAGATACGTGTATCTAATTCATCTTCGGTAAAGCCTGGTACAGTGAATGTACTGTACCAAGCCTGGTACAGTGAATATACTGTACTAAGCCTAGTATAATGAATGTACTGTATCAAGCCAAGCCTGGTACAATGAATGTACTGTATCAAAGCTGGCACAATGAATATACTGTGCATTGGTACTAAGAACTAGTGGTTCCATGTTGTGTACATAGATGCTCCACACAAGGCTAAAGTAACCAATTACACACAAGATCAAATACTGTACAGTGTGATTCTATTCCCTCAAATTTATGGGTTCCTTATTTCCAAACTTCTGTTATTAATTTGCTTTAGATGGTATATACACTTTAATTCCTATTTTAGATATTAAAATCTTGATTGGTGGTGAACAAGTGACGTGTGGTTAACAACGCTTATTTATCGACATGTTTTTAACCTGTCGACTAAATTGGCCGTTGTTTTTGCCAGTGGGCAACCAGTGAATAAATACTATTTGTAGGTTTTCTGACTAACATTTTTTTTTTTTAGGCTTGGTAAACCAACACCTAAAATGAAAATTAACCATAATGTTTCATTCCAATTGTGTTTACTTTTCTTAAAATATTTTCATCTCTAGCGTATAGCGAGTGGTGAATATATTTATTATAGGAAGTCTGAATAAATGAAGAATGGGTATAATTAAAAACTATTGCATTAGTGAAATGCTGTAAAGTGAAGCGCTGTAAAGCAGAGGCCTGCCGGACAGGACGAGGGGTTACTAGCCCCTAACTCTTTCAGTTTACAGTTATACAGGAGGGCCCCACTTATACGGCGGGTTAGGTTCAGACGTAGCCGCCGTTAAAGCGGAAACCGCCGTAAAGTGGAACACCCTTTTTTTCCACTTACAAATGCATACAAACACTAGATAACAAGTTTACACTAACATATATTATGTTAGCAATAGAACCAGGCATCAAAAAACAATAAAAAAGTACAATACACACATAGTGCACTCATTACTTACCTTAAAATATTTATAGTCTTAATCTAGGGTGAGAAGTAGTATTTATTGTAAGAAATCAAGTGTGGTATGTATGGTAGTCAGCCAGGCTACCATACCAGGCCACCCCATCCACACATACTATTCTATGATATTTAAGCATCCCAGAGCGATAAAATGTATATACAGTTCACTCATTACTTACCTTAAAATATAGGGTGAGATGAGTAGTATTTATTGTAAAAAATCAAGTGTGGTATGTATGGTAGTCAGTCGGGCTACCATACCAGGCCAACCCACCCACACATACTATTCTATGATATTTAAGCATCCCAGAGCGATAAAATGTATATACAGTTCACTCATTACTTACCTTAAAATATAGGGTGAGATGAGTAGTATTTATTGTAAAAAATCAAGTGTGGTATGTATGGTAGTCAGCCAGGCTACCATACCAGAGAGAAAGAATGAGTGCATGAGAGAGGACAGGCGCAGAGTTATGTAAACAAACCAGGCGAAGGTAAGTTTTGTAAACAGTGTACACGTCTGGTTTGTGTACAAGTTACATTGTGTACAGGTTGTCTCTACATTGATACGGTAGAATAAATAAAGAAGAACACTCCATTCTCATGTAACATCATTTTGAGAAGAAATGATGCTCTGAGTGAAGGCAATGGAAGTAAGTCACTCTGACTTTTTTGGGTTATCCTAGGTTCTCTACACATATGTTGTTATGTATTTAGTTATGTTGGTTATTATATAATTTTGAAAAAAATATCACGATGGATTAATGAAAATGTGTATATTAATGTAATATACAACATTTAATGATACACCGAGCTCAGACAGCGTAAACAAACAAACTGAACAGGTTGTGGACGATCACTCGGTCAGGCGAAATAGACGGTATTAATACGTGTCCAGTTTTAGTTCATTCATGTACATTTGTAAGAGTTTGTGAAACTTTTACCTTATAATATTTTTATTATTATTATAATAATTAAATCACGAAACAAATACTCTTACACTGTGTACAAGTTAGTACAGAATTATAGCTATAAAGTGAAGGCATACGAAAGGAATATTTTTCTACAGTTATCCCTAGTAACAGGTGACGGGCTAGAGAAAACGTAATTCTTCCGACACTTCTACAAACCGTTTGGTAAACATCTCATATATATTTGTATAAATTTTTATACTGTGGGTGCATGTATCATGTTTGTATGTTACATAATGTGTTTCTTATATAATTTTGAAAAAAATATCATAGATAGATTAAGGGAAATGTCTATATTAACGTAATATGCGACATTAATGCGCCAAGAAATATTTAAATTATTATTATTATTATTATTATTGCATCAAGAGTAGAGAGACTCTTAGTGATTTTAATGTGTACCTACATGCCAGCACAGTGTGTAAGTTTATTTAGGTACAGGTGTACACAAGTTTAATTATCAAGTACAATACATATAAAATATACAATAACTTTAAAACACTTGAAATTTTGGAAAGTTTCCAGACATAATAAGGAGATGTGCTCAGGGAGAATGTAAACAAACTCGGTGGGCCGCTGTGACCGTATTAGAAAGACAGGTGGGGGGAGCCGTATAGCGAGTTTTGGTCATAATTTGAAATGTCCGTATTAGCGGAACGCCGTAAAGCGGGGCCCTGCTGTATTGTGATAAACATTAAAAACAAGCAATTAAAAGTCTAATTTACTCAGTGCATTTTGTGTATTATGTCAAAAGTCAGTTATATCGAAGGTTTGCTTTACAATTATGGATTATTATTTATTATTAATTATTACATTCATATGAGCAGTGAAAATGTGTCTGTCCCTCAGCACAATAATAATAATCTTTATTTCTATAAGTACATAATACAACTTATACAGACCATAGCTGACATCAATGACATATTATATAGAAAACCACTGTTCATGTAGAGCATTTTGAGCAATTTAGGTTAATTTTGTCCCAGAATGTGACCCACGCCAGTCAACTAACACCCAGGTACCTACTTACTGCTAGGTGAACAGAAAGAGGCTTGATCATTTGTCCCCTAAATGTGAACAGAAGTACTGCCATTCAGTATACACTTAACAATTGTAGAAATGTAAAACTATATACAGTGGACCCCCGGTTAACGATATTTTTTCACTCCAGAAGTATGTTCAGGTGCCAGTACTGACCGAATTTGTTCCCATAAGGAATATTGTGAAGTAGATTAGTCCATTTCAGACCCCCAAACATACACGTACAAACGCACTTACATAAATACACTTACATAATTGGTCGCATTCGGAGGTGATCGTTATGCGGGGGTCCACTGTATATATATATTTTTTCAACAAACTTACCGTATCCCGCCGAGGCAGGATGGCCCAAAAAGAAAAACGAAAGC